TCAAGGCTTATGATAGAGTATCTTGGGTATTTCTTATATCGGTTCTTCGTGCGTTTGGGTTTGGGGAGGCATTTATAGATATGGTATGGCGGTTAATTTCGAACTGTCATTTTTAGGTACTGGTTAATGGACAACCCTGTGGTTTCTTCAAGTCTACCTATGGGGTGAGGCAAGGGGATGCGCTTTCTCCGGCGTTGTTCATTATTGCAGCTGAAGTTCTTTCGCATGGTCTAAATGCGCTATTGGAGGAGTCGGGTTTCACTCCTTTTCTGGCAGGTAGACAGGCGGACCCAATTACATATCTCGCCTATGCTGACGATATTATTGTCTTCTTTCGTGGAGACATTAGATCTATTTGATGCTTGATGAGAGTGCTTCAGGAATACCAAGCTTGTTCCGGTCAGCTGATTAATAATAGTAAGAGTTGTTTCCTCACATCAAATAAAAGCCCAGCACCGAGGCGCGCACTGATTGCGAGGGAGACGGGGTACTCCTTTAAGGCCTTCCCCATTAGATATTTGGGTTGCCCTCTATTTACCGGGAGGAAGTCTAGCTTCTTATTCTCGGAGCTAGAGGACAATATTGCAAGGCGGATAAGGGCTTGGACATCAAAATGGTTATCGTTCGGCGGGCGTCTCGTCCTGATAAAGTTTGTCCTGTTGTCAATGCCGGTATACCTACTCTCGGTGCTGGCTCCACCTAAGGGAGTGATTGATCGTCTCCCTCAGTTACTAGGGAACTTCTTGTGGGAGGCCGTGGATGGGAAAAAGAGACGTCACTGGATGTCTTGGTCGCCGGTATGTTAGCAATGGGGAAATGGGGGCTTGGCTCTCCGCTCACTCTATACGACAGTGTAGGCATTCTCTTGTAAGTTGTGGTGGAGGTTTAGGAATGGTGGATCTCTGTGGGCAGATTTCATGAAGACACAGTATTGCAAGGGTAGTCACCCGAATCAGGTACAAAATACTCCAACTGCTTCGGGCACATGGAGGAGAATGTTGTGGGCTCGAGTTTGGGTGGAGCCACATCTAACCTAGGATGTGGTTGCAGGTCAGGTTGATTTCTGGTGGGATAATTGGTTGGGGGACGGTCCATTAGCATGGCGGTTCCCACATCTGGCCAGCACCGAAGTGGTGGCAAGTTACTGGGTGAATGGTAACTGGGACTTTGGGAAATTATGTTGCATATTGCTAGAAGAGGTCCTTCATAAAATTGAGGAGCGATTTGAGTGCTGGTAGGTTGGAGGTAGGGATGTTCCGTTTTGGTCTGGGACGCAGTCCGGGGACTTCAGTATACGGTTTGTAATCCCAATTATTGTGCCAAGTGCCGCGGACTCTTGGGTATTCAAGCAAATATGGGTGAAGGGATTGCTATTGAAGTTCTCCTGTATACTATGGTGTATAATGCATTCCAAGATCCCACTCTCAGATATTCTCTATCAGTTCAATGTCCATGGCCCGTCACGTTGCTTTTGTTGTAGTAATAATCACTTAGAGACGCTGCAACACGTCTTCTCACTGGGAGACACCCCCATAGCAGTCTGGAAATTGTTCGAAATGCCATTTGGTATTTCTTCCTTCGGCAGGACAATTAAGGACCGATGCTTATATTGGTGGCTTACTCCGTCGGCATATTGGATCTTACGATGGGTGCTACGGATAGGGCCGGCAGTTATCTTATGGCACTTATGGAGGGCGAGATGTTTGTTTACATACGAGGGACATGTCCTCTCGGCTGATACCATCTCGCAGAGGATCCTGGGGAACTTAAGAGATTTAATTGTCATATAGTTCCCATTCCTCCAGAGTAGGTTTTTGGGTAGCAGTTGGTATGAGGTTGTTCAAGGTGTGGGTAGCTTTCCCCCGCCGATCCAGACACGTTATATTGTTTGGGCCCGCCTTCCGGTGGGGGTTGCCAAACTGAATTTTGATGGTTCTTTTATGAATCCCTCCTGGGCAGGGGGTAGTGGGATTTTGAGAGATTCAGTGGGTCAGGTGGTGTTTGCTTTTTCAGAGTCCTACAGAAATGTCACGTCCCTGCGAGCTGAGGCTAGGGCATTGTGTACTGGGTTGGAATTGTGTAAGATCTTGGGGTATGGTCCACTCGTAGTAGAGGGTGATTCCATGATTCTTATCCAAGCAGTATAGGGGGCGGTGGGTGCACCAACATCGTTATGGCCACTCCTTCGTTGCATTCGGCAACTCTTTACAATGGTGTCCTCCTGGTGGCATACGCATCGAAAAGGGAATGCTGTTGCTGATGCTTTGGCATCATTGGGGAGTCGGCCTAGTAATTTTTGCTTATATCTTACATTCCAATCCTTGCCGCGAATGGTGCGGGGATTGTGCACTGTTGACAGGTTTGGGATTGGGAGGTTTAGATTTTCCAAGAGGTCAAGTGCGACCACATGATAGGTCCACAGATATCATATACTCTTGCCCTGTACTTTTCACTTATTATTAATAAAGTTTCCTTAAAAAAAACAAAAAAAAAAGTTCTATTGGCCTTAAAAAAAAAAGTAAGACAATTCTAAAGATGAGAAGAATATGGTAATTTTACCACTTAATTGCTCCAATGATTAAAAATAGAATTCATAAAAGATTCCGAATTGCAAGTAGTGGTAAGAAAAAATCCTGCAAAAAGAAATGATAAATTGAGGCACATTCTCGCAAGTCAACAAGAAATTAGATTTGGGGTAACTATACATGTTCATTTGTTAATTAAATCAATTGGGTGTTATGACTGTATTGATTCGAATGTGTAGTTCGAAACCATATTATTTGGTAGTTAAAGGAAATAGTTGCTAAAAGAAATATTCACCAAGGTAAAAATTTGGTAGAAAATTGACTTAATTTCTTCTATGCAAGCTTCTTGTTTTGTGTTGAAATAACTAGTTTTCTAACTGATTTTAGTTATTTGAAATAGTAGCCAAGGAATTTCCTATTTATAGAAGTTTAGAAATTAGAAATTATTTCCTATTTCGTATGAGATTAGAAATTATCAGTTATTTTCTGTTATTATTTGGGTGTTGGCCAAGCAACATACTATAAAATGGTACAAAAAGACGACATGTATCCTTATACATAGAGTGAGAAAGAGTTCTTGAAAGATGAGAAATGACATACAAGAGTTAGACTTGGGTTCAAATTGTATTATTACATAGGGTTTTCTTTTCATAAAAAAGAATGAGTTTCTTTCCGTGGACTAGGCTCAATGATGGAGTCGAATAGCGTTAAATCTAGCGAATTCCTTTATTTATTGCTAAAAAAAAATCGTACAAGTATTGATTTGACAAGGAAAAGGTATTGAACTATGCCTGTCGGGCTTAATCTACAAATTTTTTTTTTTCAAATTGCTGGGCTGCCGGGCTGAGTCCAGTTGGATTTTTGAAAAAAAAACGGATGACTACCAGACTATGTCAGCCCGACAGCCATCATCAAAAGGCAAAAAAAAAAAAAAAAAAAAAAACTTTGTGGCCTACCATCATATAGATATGGGCAAAAAACTTGGGCGGCCATTAAACTTTTTTTAGGATCATGTTTTGGCTATCGAACTATTTTTTGTCAATGATTGACCACTAAACAACTTAATCAGTCCACCCGTGCCTACTTCGTCAGTAATGGCTCTTAATTTCTGAAATTAGCATTACACATGGCAAACCACATGGGCAATTTTGTTGTCAATCCACTGACCGTTTACTTACATTAATGCATCAACTGAAAAGAAAAAAAGAGCGGTGCAAGCAAGCCAATTAAACAAACTTTCATTCTCAAAATCATTGTATGAAGATCGAAGAGAAGGGAAAATCGTGGTGAATCTATGGAGTGGATCATCAGGCGAAGAGACGTCGACATTGATCCCTATGAAATTTATGGTAAATTATTTTTTGTGAAAAATCATGTGAATGAACTAAAACTGTACTTTAAACTAAATGTAATGGGTGTAGTACTCAAGTTTGTGTCTAAAATCGAAGGTTGATGCGCACTTGGCTAAAAGCTGTTGGTGAAAACATATTGGTGGGAGCCTAATTCCAATAAGTTTACTCTTGAATATCGGGCTTTATTTTAAGTTGATGTGTGTTTTCAATTTGGCTCCAGTTGCAACAGAAAAACTCAAAATGCTAGATGCGTCAAAAGAATACATATTACAAATATCTTATTTCTTAAAGGGGTGTAAAACGCATGCAAGACCTTCCTATCTTTCAGTTGTAATAGTCTTTTATATATATATATATATGTATATATAAGAAAATCGTAGCCGCTATTCGAGATTGCGCAATGAATAAATCCCACCCTGTGCAATAGTCTGCCAACCACACGGAGAAGTAAGACGCACTAGACAAGCCCCACGCGACAAGCAGATGTCTATAAAAGGTTCGAATCCGAATTGACAGAAAAGCATGACGCCAACTCTATCATCTCGACGAACTCAAGGAACAATAGTAACATTGTTGCTAACTAAACGCTTTTCTTCTGTTTTAGGGACATTTCAATTCAATTTTGACACAAGTTGGTCATTATGCTTCTCAGCAGAGTCTGCAAGGATTGGTTCTGAGTTGAGAAATATGGATCTTTGTGGTTTTGTGTCACAAAATGTATCATAAATTGCTTTACCTCATATTGAGATTGGCAGTTTCTGGGGCAGCTTGGTTTCTGAGCACCAACATCCACCGTACCTTGCAGGACATGGCATACTAAGGGCTGGTTTTGGCTGTAGCATGAATAATGAGATGTTCATCCATTGAGCATTTCTTTGTTGCTGTACCGGGGTAGGTAAAATCTGCAAACTATTTGCTTGACAAGTGTTTTCTCCGTGAATTTGTTTTCGTTTTACTTACTAGATGTTTAACAATTCTCATACGACTATACCAGTAGGAATTCGTGTTTTGCAATTTTAAGGTTTGATAGGTTAAACATGGTCTAGTTGTCCTACACAACTAGACCATAGCCACAATTTTGTTGCAGGACAACCAGCAAAACAAACTCGTAGGAGCACTTGCATAGCTGTAAAACGTGCTGTTCATTCACAAATAATCCAGGTTTAAGGGATATGACAAAATCCCGCATTATAAATATGCACTGCCTGGAAGCTACCCTGCTTAAAAGTTTTTTTTTTTTTTTTTGGCAGACTGCTTAGGCCAGGCAACATTTTTTTTAGTCCTTTTTCATCATTTTAAGACACATCTTGTACGCGATATTACACCCAATCTCCCACCTACATGTTATAGGTTTCTCCTGTATATCCTCAACTTGGAGCCTCGTGATCTGTCATTCCGAATTTAACAGTTTTTGTTTGCTCCTCACTATAATCCCCATTCAGCAATGCAGCCTCATCTTCAATCATGTAAGCTGGTTAGTCTTTGGTACTCTCAGCCTTCCCGCTTTAGTCCTACATTATTAGTAGCTTCTTAAGTACGGTATCTAAGTTCTTGAGCTTGAGACATAGTTCTCCACTATGTTCACCTGGTGCAACCTTAGCCCAGGAAGAAAGAACAACACATTTATGCTTCAGCAGAAATGTCCCGAGCATGGAGGGTTTCAGACCAGTATTTAGGAAACCAGAAATGAACAAAAACAGGGGGATGGTTAGAACTTAGAAGTGAACCAACAAACCTCCAGCAGAACTATGTATCATAGCTACAGACTCTGAATATCTTGCCTCTTCATCAATCTGCACCACAAACCATTTTTCGTGTGAATTGTTGCTCCTGTGACGATTTCCACAGACTCTGGAGATCCTTTCAGTTCTATATCAAACTCTTGCAGCAACATAGCCAATGCTATTGTTGACTCCATGAATGCAAATTGGTCTCCAACACACTTTCTTGGGCCCCCTCCGAAGGGCAGGAATGCAAAATCTGACATAATCTGATAACAGCAATAACGGCCATATTGGCAAATTTCTAAGAGTTTACACACTAAAGTCCTCGGAATAAAAAAAAATAAAGAACCACTATTAAATAACCTCATTTGGATATAAAGCTCCAGGACTTCTGGATGGATCAAAACCAGCCCATCCTTCAATGCCTTGGCTCACTCTTTTTACTAGAAAGCGTTCAGGTTCAAAGTCATTGGGATTATCCCATAAGTATGGAGATCTATGAACATTGTATACCTGCCAGATGCAGTTAATTTAATAGGAAATCCTAAATAGCTGCCCAAAAATTCATTCTGCTACACATCGTTGCTAACAGTTTTCAAGTCTAATTTTCTATCACTAGTTGTGAGTATCAAAGCTATCATATGCACTTTCATCTTTTTATATGCAACATAGTAGATATATTCCCCAACAAAAAGGAAAATAAAGGCTCACAGATAAGAAAATATCAGTGCCAGCAGGGATTGCATATCCATTATTGTCACCTTTATGACCTCCTGCAGATGTGAAGCAATGGACTTAGAAGTAACTGAAATTATGGCATTGCTACAAATTGAACAGCAGATGTAATTCCAAAAACAAGTTGTTTTCATGGTTGCAAAAATATGAGAAGATGCTAAACTTAGTTGTTCATGAAAAGATTTTCAAGGTATCATCACCTCATTGCATCTAATTTTTGGCACTACTGCATAAGCTCATTCTCCCACACAGAAAAGGGGGGCAGCAGAATATATATATGTATCTTCTTTTTTTGGGGGGGGGGGGGTGGTGGTGGAGGTGCGGGGGAGGGGGTTGTGTGTGTGTGGAGGGGTTGATGAGTTGAGCAGAAGAGAACTTATTGCATCCCAGTAGAGAGCTGAAAAAGAAACAACGCAAGAAGTAAAATGTTCAAGAGTGTCTGAAACATCTTTTCTAAGGAAAATTCTAAACACTTGTACTCTTTAGATATCAAGCACCACATATGTAGCTTGATGCGAGATGATATGTCACTCCCAAAACTTAGAGCTTTGAGTATTAGATATGTCATTAGCTGTCAGTTTGAGACTCAGTTTGGATGGTGGATGCATGCAAATACAGGTAGGTGACGCTACAAACTTCAAGTACTATGAGCTCCTCAAGACTATGTTGCTAAGAGGAATTAAATGCAAAGCTTAGCTGCCCCTCGAATCCAAATCAGACCTTCAACAAAAATTTGTTTTCCTGTTATGAAGTTGGCATGATCTGTTCAACTTACTATAGGACCATACCAGGCAACTTGTCTGATTTCAGAGAACGCCTAATAAGGAGTGGAGGCTGCGGATATAAGCGTAGCGTCTCTACAACAACAAGTCGTATGTACCTGACAGCATCCAGATGGCACACAGCCATTTAGAATGCAAAAAGTATAAAGGCTTTATGATATTTAAGATCAAAGTTAATATTTTGACTCTTTTAGTCTACATTTAAAAGTAGCAAGATAAGGCAATATAGTAAAATGAAATGAACTACTACTTTATGCAATTGGATAAATACAACGTACCATCCTTCAAATATGTACTTGACAAAAGTGTTATAATTAACCTATTTACACTTTTTTGGGGTGTTTCTCAAGAACATTTGCTGTAGCTACTTTATTGGAAAGAGAACATGTGAGATAAAAAGGAAAATGGACTACACGTTAAAAGTTTTCTAAAATCAGGTTTTATTTTTTTTGAAAAAAGCTACCCATCCAAACAGGCCAAAGTTTATTCCATTAGTGATTCTCTAAACCATGAAGCTGGGCTCTTAGGTTGCCACAGAAGAAACATATACCTCAAGCAGGTCCATGAAATTAACCTCTTAAAACTTTTTAAGCAACAAAAAATTGATTTAGGTCAAATTTCAATCCACAGTATGAGTATTTTGGTATGTTAGGGGGCTCTTTGCTGCGTGCAATGTGGATCTCTTCATTTTGGTCTTACATCAAGAACTAAACTGAATGTCAGTTTCACCCAGATTGCCAATTTAACTGCCCATTCTGATATACTTCTATATCTCTTGCCAGATTACCAAAACAGTTGTCAAATGCATCACAAAATTTGTGAACTTTTTACATGAAGTTATTGAACTAAAAGGAATCAAGAATGAATTCTCAACTGAACTTCTTCTCTATGGTCAGGAACCTCTTACATACCAAAAACAAAGCAAGCATTAGGTTTTCAGACCCATCTCAATTAATTTCTCTTGCAGAAACAGATAGCAACGAGGAATATATTCACATAGTAGGTTTACTGTATGCATCATCTCACACTCAAATTTATTTGAAGTCGCAGAAAACAAGCTACAGAAGATCAAATTTCTGTGTCTACATGTGTTATGTTATAATCAAGAGGAGATGCAAAACTTTCACATTCATTCTTCCAGTGTATTAGATGTTGTGATATATTATATCACGGTCATGAAATCCACTTTGGGTATACTCATGTATGTTGGAAATAACTACGCAAATAATTTATTGAGCAGCATAGCATAGTAGTAAAAGAACTCCGGAAAGAGATTTTACTATGGCAATAGGAGTTTCATGGAGCACTACCACATACTCAAGTTTTTTAATTGATTCTATGGTTATCCTTCTTTGGCCTAGCACTGAATCAATCTCAGCCTGTGCTTTCTTCATTTTGCTGGGATGCTGCAAAACAGCAATTTACCATACATCATATCTAATACAAGTTGAGAAATCTGTTGCTGAAGAACGAGGAAACATTGAAGAAAACCAATCTAAATCCACTTTCTAGAGACATTGTCAAAGAGTTTTGAATGTCACTAAGATAAAACCTACTTGTGCAAGAAGGAAAACAGCCCAAGTAAGCACAGCAGCTGTAGTTTCATGGCCAGCAATAAGCATTGTCATCAGATCATCTCTAAGCTGCAAAATGGAACAGCAGCAGACTATAAACTCCAACATATAATAGTGCAGATGCAAAAGCATACATAAGCAATCTAAATGAGAAAGGTATTAAAGTGTGGATGGTTAAGGTAGCTAGCATACTTGGAGGTTGAGATATAATTTCCAGAGATTACAATGTCAAATTAGCAAGCAATTGCATAAATTCTGCTAAGAACAGCCAGATTCAAGCAATGTAAATGCTTTTCTAACTCGTGAAATGATTTGAACAATCACCTATGTAAATTCATTTCTCCATACAGCATAACTTGGCCAAACATACCTACATGTTCATGTGCAATTTGGAAGAAGAAAAGTTGCTCACTGAAGTAGTACAATAGGTGAAGAGGTTGTTTTGGATACAGAAGTTCCATCAGCAGATGAAGAAAACACCACAAGTAACTTTACTCTACCTGACAATCATCAACATCTGCACCTCTCATATCAACTAAAAATCGCAACAGACTGGCATCCTGCAAACTTCAAGAGTTATGGTGCCAAATTTACTACCTTGTTACTTTCAAATATCAATACAGGAAGTGCATAAGGATTATGCTCACTTTAAGTTTTAAGTAGTCCCTTTTCTGCAGTTGCTCAATCTCTGTTTCCTGTGCCAGAATGCAACCTCTTGATAATAAACAATACAATGGTGAATCTACTAGAATAAACAGGTGCAACGATGCAGTTAGTGTAAAGCAAAATGGCCACCTGTTCCTCATTGGAAGACAAATAACTACTTGTGCCAATATCCAGGTAAGGTTCTAAGCCTGGCTTGGGAAAGGAGTCATCAAAAAGCTTTTGATTCTTCAATGGTAAATAACAAAACACATTCCAAGGATATTTCAAACTACCAAAGCTAGTTTGCTGTTTCTTCTGTTCTCCTATATCCTGAGTTCCTGACAATGAAAAACTGCATAGTTCCTTACTGATTATGGAAGAGTGGGTGCCAATGCTCAATGTACCAAGCACTAGTATCTAGTCCTGATATTTGCTATTTCTTCTTTTCTACTCATTCCAGACAAAGCAAAACTGGTGATTGTTCTAGATTAGGAAGATTGGGTTGTCTATGCTCCAGCTATAAGAAAAGCCAAATTACCCAAACAGAGACAGGGTGGACCATATTAAGCAAAAAGCATGTGTACCGTATAATAATAAAGTGAAAACAACCAAGATCAAGTATCTGTACCATGATGAATGAAGAGGATCTATGCCAGTTTCAGTGTTGAAGAATGTACAAGAGAGAAGCAAGGCAAATCCTTGAGTTACATCAACAATTCTTTACACAAGACTTTGCAGCAAAAACTAGATGTACTACCTTAAGAAGAAAAACAGGCAAAGTAACCAAATTTCTGAACTCATTAGACACACTCAACGTCCAAAACCAAAGATAAGAACAATATTAAAAAATATGTTGGGTTCATACTACTTTTAGACTAACAGAACTTATAAGGCAAAGAGAACCTTAGTTAATGCAAGCATCAACTGCATGAAAACATGCCAGGTTTCACTACATGCCTCTTGGATCCCAACATAAAAGAAATCCTCTACCTCTCTGTCTTTTGCTGTCTCTTCCCTCCCTCTCTACTTTCTGCATGAAGGTCAAGATATTCTAGTATCTAGTTTTGGTGTCTATGAATTTGAATGACTCAATGGATGTTAATAGATTTATGAACCACAAGACAAACAAAAGAATGACCAATCAAGCTTGAATTTGGTATTTGGGCCTTGAAATCATGTACTCCCAAATGTTTTGAGCAAAGCTAAGGCTGGAAAGATATGAGCTTTATGGGACTAAACAGCAGGTGTAGCCTGGATGACTCGTCAACTCATTCAGGGTAGGAGAAGGAAGAAGAGGATAAAAAGAGACAAAAGAGAGCAAGAACATACAATTTAAAGGAATAAGACTAATCTCAAAGTCCATCCACAGATAACTAAACAACAGAAAGTCATGTCATTCTCCCTCTAACAGAAAGCCCACTATTTCCACAGTAAGAAACCGTGTCGCAAGTTTAGTGCCATGTGGTGCTTAAGCACAAACCACTCTATTAACCCCTTCCAGATTTTCAAGAAAAACTCTAGAAATTAGTGCATTATAATATCTTTGTTATGACTTCTGCTCTCCTTTTGAATATCTTGGAATTGATAGTCCTTGACACCATGGAGGGAATTTTGTATATGTCACAAAGATGATGGTAAGGACAACTTTTTTGGAGTGTGGCAAAACAAAAGCAGAAGGATGAGTTATGGGTTATTATGGATGAAAAATAAGTTGAAAAACTCATGAGTTTTGTTTGTGATAGTAATGAATCTGATAATTGTCTTCTATGAAAGATGGAACCAGGTTGTGATATATTACCACTGTGTTCAAGATTGACAAATGTCTCTCTCAGGTAATAATATAAAGAAAGGAACACAAGTAGCATATTTTGTGGACCAAGTGTTTGGTTAGTTTAAAGGTTAACAAGCTGACTTCTATCACCTACATGCTCCAGTGGGGAATGGCAGGAGCATTAAGGACATCCATGTCTTTTGATAGGCTTCAGATATTATGTGAAAGGGTAAGGTTGGCTGTTAATGATAAACGAACCAAAACTGCTTCTTCAAGTAGTTCTGGAGTTATATACTCCTTACCTGTCTGGTCTCTTTTGCATTTCTGATAAGATCATCAAGACAGTCATTGATAAACTTAAGGTCTTTCTGGAACTTTCGCTGCCTGGGGACTAGCCATTTTGCCAGAGGGAATTTCCAGTAAGGTATGTAGAATGTTGATCGATGTTCAGCTTCAAAGAGAGTACCGTATACAGCCTGAAAAAATACACCTAGATATGTATTGACCATTTTGATAGCAAAAAAGTTAATCAAGAAACACAAAAGCATGTGATAAATTATAAAGCCAATAGTAAAAGATTTTAAAAAACCATTAATTGCTGACATGCTATCAACCTCAAAAAGAAGGGTAGAGACAAGAAATGGCATAAGTTACAATATTTGCAAGCAAAGCTTAATTGGTGAAAAAATACTCAATCGAAGGACCAAAATATGGAAAACATATAGATACATCCAACAACGTCTGGTATACATACCAATTATACAATCTGAGAACAGTATTTCATGAGAGTTCACAAGACAATGCTACGTGGCATTTTATTTGTTTAAACTTATCATTAGAGGAAAGCACTCAAACTTATTAGCATTAGCTCTCTTAATTTGACTATAGTAGTTTCTACAATTTAAAGTTGTACACATTCCTTCAAATTACTCGTTTACACTTAATTTACATGAACACTAAACCAACTTTTGATATTAGTCCTCTTGATTTTAATAAATAAAACAGTATTCTAAATGCACAATTTTTCGCCCTTAGTTGACTACAGATAATTTCTATTTTAGTTTATTCTTCTTATCTGGAAAAGGTCTATTTCCTATTAATACATTTGATTTAAACTCCCATCTTTTACTCTCTTATCTTATATGCTAAATCAATCTCCAAACGTTTTCCATTATCTCACATACATCTTTCCTAAGCTCTTGCAATCTCTATAATTTATTTGTTTTTGTTTTCAGGGTAAAATATCTAAGCATTAGCATTACAATATACTTGTAAGTAGAGGTATAGAAAATTAATATCATCATTTTCAAGTGTTAATTAAGCTCTTCTTACCAAGATGGCATTAAGACTTTTAAGTTGTCATCTCACATTGTAATGATGTAATCTTTTTCAAGCAGTCAAGCATAACCTCATCCTACCATCTGCCCTTCTAAAAGCTGGACACAAATGACATTGGGAGTGTTTGGATACAAAATTTATTCCAAATAATATTTTGCTTGCATCATAAACACATTTTTTAACCCATCTTTTTATATTTTCAATCATTTTTTTATCTCACATATATCACATCATAAAAAGTGCTACAGTAATTATTTTAAATAATATTTCAAATAATACCCTATCCAACCGACAGATATCAACACATTTGTAACACTGGAAAAGTACACGGCCAACCAAGTCCATGATATCCCCCTTCTCCCAGTACTCATATTTTTGCTAGAGAAGCAAATCAAACTCATGTAAATAACTGTATTTGCTGAATTATGCAAGAAAAACCCAAGAAAGTGCTTCTGGATGTTAGTAAAGAAAGGGAATCTTCTCACCCCACAGACAAATAAGCACCAATGAGTAAATGGATAAAGAATTATGGATAGAGTTCTTTCTACTTCCTCCACATTTCAGTTGATTTACATGTCTCTAAGAACATAAGAAGGCAAAGCGCAGAGGAAAATAAGATGGGAAAAGAAAAGAAAATGAGATGAGAACTGTCATTTCTACTTCTGTCCTACACAGGTTGTTCTGGCCGTTTTATCAAGAACTCAAACTGACTAATATTCATGATTAACTGATCAATTTGATTCTTACCAGTCAATTTCTACTTAGCTGAAGCAATTGGGATTCGAATTTCATAGATATATCCTAAAAAGTAATCATGTTGAACATATACTGCAGTAAAATATTTGCGAAATGAATTCCTACATTAGTTTACTTGTTTTCTTAATTGATTTCATTCATCTCCTTAATTTACTGAGTACCATATAAAATGATAAGAGCAGAATTCTCTACAACCATGTCAAGTTCATGCCAATTTTTGACACTATCATATAAATGCTAAGCATGAAAAAGTTTACTTCTGAGAGGGTTCAAAAACCATTTACTTCTGTAGTCATGAACATGTTGAATGCAGTAAGTCCTCTGAAAATGATTTTCCAAGAAAATATTTGCTTTCCCTAATTTCTTATGTTTGCTTGACTTGGTATCTCCTGCAAAACTAATATCCTTAGTACTCTGTTCTGGTAAATAACCATGGATGAGATTGGATAACACACATAACCAACCAAAAATGTTATCCAAATTACCCACAATAAGCCCAGCAAAGAATGCAAGAAATATTGAAGAAGTTGCCAAAGTTACAGCCAAAAATTTAAGAATACGCCATTGTTACTGGTATTTGTAGGATTTTCCATAAAAAATTAATTTAATATCCCCAATACAAGAATCTTAGTACTGCTATGACAAATTACATCCTCCTATGGGAATGACCTTCAAACGCTAACCCGAAAGTTTCAAATCAACCTTGAAAAACACGACAAGCTGCTTTTTTAGTTCTAGATTTTTCCTCCCAATCTGCCAATCTCTCAAGTCAGGCCCTAGATTTATGTAAGAAAGAGAGAGGAAGAAGCAGGAGATAAGCGCATTGCAGAGAAACAACAGGAGGACGATGCATCTGAAAAGGAATAGGAAGAAGATAATGGGTATCTTGCTTCGAAGAGATGAAGTGGTCTGGTTTATAAAAAACTTGCAAAGAGAACGTTCCATTAGCTGTTTAACATTGTTAGGAGAATATCAGTATTCTTGTAGATAATATTAGTAAGGGTATTCTTATAAATAGTTGGTTAGATTCGTACTCCTATAAATACTAGTTGGTCACTCATAATACGGTGACTAGATATTTTCCTCCCAAGATACCTATTGACATGGTATCAGAGCTACTGTTCATCACGCACTGTTCACGCGGTACTATTCACGTGTACTGTTCATCGCGAATTCTGATTGCTGTTTTGTTTGAAGTGTTATTCGTTATGGATGAAAGTTTTGCTAATGGGGTTACCACTGATCAAGTTGAATCAAGTTCTTCAGCACATGGGTCCCAAAAGACTGACACTATATTCGAGGAAGATTATGTTAAATTCCTACAGTACCAAACTACAAATCACGCATCTCTTCCGTCTGCTTCTTTAGCACAAAAAGATAATGACTCATGGATTATTGACTCCGGAGCTACTGATCATATGTCAGGTACTTCTAAATATTTTTCTAATTTTCAAGAGTCTACTTCCTTTCCTCATGTTACTTTAGCTGATGGATCTACCACTAAAGTTAAAGGACTAGGCACTATAGAAGTTAACCCATCACTTCCGCTATCTTCTGTTCTTTACGTACCCACTTTGCCCTTTAATCTAATGTCTGTTAGTAAGCTCACTAAATCTCTACAGTGCTCAGTTACTTTTTCTCCTGATTTCGTTGTCATTCAAGATTTGAAGACAAAGAGAACGATTGGTGGAGGGCATGAGCATAATGGTCTTTATTTTCTTAACTTCAATGGTCCGATTGCATATCCTGCTACTGTTTTTCCTCACTGTCGTTTGGGTCATCCATCTTTACAAAATTTGAAAAAGTTTATTCCTACTTTGAGTCCGTTGTTTTCGTTAGAATGTGAGTCTTGTCAAGTCGCTTCAAAGTTAGATTTTAAATATTTTGTAATCTTTGTTGATGATTTTTCAAGAGTTACATGGTTTTATTTAATGAAAGGTCGTTCAGAACTATATTCCATTTTTTGTGCATTTGTTACAGAAATAAAGAATCAATTTGGTGTGTCTGTACGTATACTTTGCAGTGATAATGCGAAAGAATATTTTTCCACTCTTTTTAATACCTTCATGACTAAATCCGGTATTATTCATCAGTCCTCTTGTCCTCACACTCTACAACAGAATGGAGTTGCTGAAAGAAAACTCGGACACTGATGTTGCACATGAATGTGCCCAAACAATTTTGGAGTGATGCAGTTCTAACTGCATGTTATTTAATTAATCGCATGCCATCTAATATTCTTGGAGGCCAATTACCTCACTCCGTTCTTTTTCGTCATGAATATGTGTTTAAATTACCACATCGTATTTTTTGGTGTGTGTGTTTTGTTCATCAACTTATTTCTAGGGTGGATAAAATTAGATTGTCGTGCCATTAAGTGTATTTTCTTGAGATATGCACGAGCGCAAAAAGGGTATAGATGTTACAGTCCAATTTTAAATCATTTTTTCACTTGTGCTGATGTTATTTTCTTTGAATCTACTCCTTATTTTATGAAGCAAGGTATGTCTTGTGAATTAGACCAGTGTTCCTCTTTTCCTTCTCCTGTTTTGCTAGTCCCTTCACCTTTATTACCTGAGTTATTTAGTTCACCCGATTCCACAACTCGATTATCTCGTCCTAATCTTCAAGTTTATTCTCATCGTTCCATGGTTGAGAAAGCTCCTGATATGTTATGCACTTCACCAATTAACTCTCAATCTTCAAATCCAGGTATGACGCCCTCCCGTGAGTCAGATCTTCCTATTGCTTTACGTAAAGATAAGAGACATTGTACTTCTCATCCTATTTCTAATTTTGTCTCTTATTCTCGTCTTTCTCTGTCATATTCTTCTTTTGTTGCTTCTCTTGATTCAGTATCCATTCCGAAGTCTATTACCCATGCTCTCAATGATTCTGATTGGAGATTAGCTATGCAAGAAGAGATGCTTGCTTTGGAGAAAAATGGTACTTGGGATCTTGTTCCTCTTCCTTTTGATAAGTCGGTTGTTGGTTGTAAATGGGTATACACTATAAAAATACAACCTAATGGTTCGATTGATAGATTGAAGGCTCGTCTGGTAGCTAAAGGATTTGCTCAGGTATATAGAATCGACTACTTCGAAACATTTTCTCCTGTTGCAAAGATTACCTCTGTTCGTCTTCTTATCTCTTTAGCAGTCACTTATAATTGGTCATTGCATCAGTTGGATGTGAAAAATACATTTTTGCATGGAGATTTGGAAGAAGAGGTACATATGAAACAACCTCTTGGATTTGTTGTTTAGGGGGAGAATCCGCGGTTGGTTTATCATTTAAAAAAAATCTTGTATGGATTGAAATAGTCTCCGAGGGCTTGGTTTGGCCGGTTTAGTAGTGTTGTCATGGAGTTCGGTCTGACAAGATGTGGAGTAGATCACTCTACATTTTATTGACATTCTAATGCTGGTAAAATTTTATTAGTTGTTTATGTGGATGATATTGTGATTACAGGTAATGATATTGTGGGGATCTAGAAACTTAAATCTAATCTGCAGGCAAACTTTCAGACAAAGGATTTAGGTCATCTACAGTATTTTTTGGGTATTGAGGTAGTTCGGTCTAAATATGGGATTTATTTATGTCAAAGAAAATATGTACTCGATATGTTGAGTAAAGTTGGAATGTTAGGTTGCCGACCTGTGGATCCCAATGTGAAATTAGTAGGAGATCAAGGTGCATTACTTGATGATCCTAGACAATATCGAAGACTTGTGGGTAAATTAAATTATCTCACTATAACGAGACCTGACATTTCATTTGCAGTGAGTGTTGTGAGTCAATTTCTTGATACCCCTCGTACTAGTCATTGGGATGTTATACGAATTCTCAGGTATCTTAAGAGTGCTCCTGGAAAAGGGTTGCTGTATCAAATCATGGACACAGTGATATTGAAGGATATAGTGATGCAGATTGGGCTGGTTCTGCCTCAGATCGAAGATCGACCACAGGATATTATGTGTTTGTTAGTGGTAATTTAGTGTTGTGAAAGAGTAAGAAGCAAACAGTTGTCTTCAGATCAAGTGCAGAATCTCAATACCGCGCTATGGCTCACATTGTGTGTGAGTTGGTTTGGTTGAAGAGCATGTTACTTGAAATTGGGTTTGAGCATAAACAACCTATGAATTTAGTGTGTGATAATCAGGCGGCTGTCCATATTGTGTCTAATCCAGTGTTTTATGAAAGGACAAAACATATTGAAGTTGATTGTCACTTCATTCAAGAGAAATTGCTTGACAGAGTCATCAAGACATCTTATGTACCATCTGTAGATCAATTGGCTGATTTGTTTACTAAGAGTTTAGGGGCTCTGGGATGAAATACATTTGTAACAAGTTGAGTGCTTATGATATATATGCTCCAACTTGAGGGGGAGTGTTAGGAGAATATCAGTATTCTTGTAGATAATATTAGTAAGGGTATTCTTGTAAACAATTGGTTAGGTTTGTACTCCTATAAATACTAGTTGGTCACTCATAATACGATGACTAGATGTTTTCCTCCCAAGATACCTGTTGACAAACATCAAATTGAGTAAAAAATTTTCCAGCAGAAAAAGTTTCCTTCGCTTCTGAAAATTGGGAAAACACCAATGGAAAAATGTTTCACAACCAACCAAACGGACTAACTGGTAAAAGAAATCCATCCCGCTAAGTGTTGAAGTAAACAACGAACAGAGTGTCTTCAATCGATTACTCCAAACTAGAGATCTAAGAGTGACCAGTTCCATCTTTCCAAGGTATTTACTTTTGTCACAAAGCCTTTAGAAAGGCCTTCGATGTTTAAAAAAAATACAATTGAAAAAAAAAAGACCTCACTTTTCCCAGCACTCATGAACCGTTGGTAAAAATTAGAGCAGTCAAACAGAACATGTTGTTGCAAATATCATACAGTAGTAGAATGAGAAAATGAAAGCAACTAGAAGAGTACGGCACAAGCCAGGGAAGAAACGTAAAGGAAACGGGAAACTATTGCAGCAAAACAACTTAATTTGCTGAGATATTTAAATGATTAAGAAAGTAAGCTAAAAAGAGTTGTTCAAGAGAACTTTGGCACAGGAGATAGAGATGACACTCATGACAGCATGTAATTGCACAATCATCAATAAATATTAATATTTCAGTTGCTCAACTATACATCTACTCAACACCTTTAAGAATGCCAATATTAGTTGCAAGGAAGACAATACAAAACCTAAGAATACATGCTGCTGGTGCATGAGAACATGCCAAGGGAGGAAACACAATTAAAAGCAAACTAAGTCAAACATCCATGAGCATTGGAGGAGGAAAGAAGTACCTAGAAGTACTATCTATATGCACACAAACTCACGAAGTTTGAACTTTTTACCTTAATAAGAGGAGATTCTTTGGTAACCGAACCAAAATCGTAATTGAAAACTCCAAGACCAATAATATCTAAAGCCAAACTGGAAAATTCGGCTTCAAGGTCCAACTCAATGGTCTTCCCTCCTTTTCTCCCTTCTCCAGCAAGAAGTTTTTCAAACTTTAGCATTGTTCTCTCAGAGCAATCAGTAAATACTTTGACCATGGCCTCCAAGTACAGTGCATGAAACCCAGGAGCAATAACTGTAAGGGGGAGATATATAAGTTTGAAAAGAAGGATAAAAGAAGAGTAGAAGAGAGGATGTGGAAACAGAAAAAGCTTTTAACATGTGGAGATCTATCACTATGCAATTTACTAAGCTTTTGAGAGGATTGCAACTTACATAGGTATGTGGTATAAGATACTTCTTGGTCATTAATTTCCCATGGACCAAAGTTCCAATTTACAAATTATCACCTATCAGTATGTGTACCATATATAATTCTACTGCTCTTTCACCATTTCAAGAGGTTTCATTTATGTCACCAGCATTATGGAGCATTACAACATTGCAAATCCTAGTAAACCCTTTGGACTTACTACAGCAATGAGTGAACATAAAAAATCATATGATCATAGAGAAAGCAAAAGTGCCCAATAGCATAAAAACCGTAAAACTTGGATGTTTGCTTTCCATCAAACATGACAACTACTTATACAGACGACATTAAGCAGACCACAACAACAAAATTACATAAAAAAATACTCAAGCATGAACAAGGAAAATCAAAATGTGCAGAAGACGCAGAATTGAAATGAATTGTAACTGCATAGTTACTGATCGGATGTTTTTTACAAGCTAATGAAGTTGAAACTTATAGTTTATATCATAGTCAATAGCCACAGAACAGAAGAAACAGAGACTATAACAGTGTCATCACATGTCTTGTTACATAATTGCCTAATCTAAAATGCATACTTCCTAATAAGGAATGAAATAGTGTAAAACATGTAACTGCTCTTTCTTCTCCAGATTCGGGAAAGCAAACATGATAGCTAAAATTATCAAGTTACTTTCACAGATTTTGATCTACTTATTCAAACCATTCAATTAACAGTTTTAGAAAATTTTCTCTGGCAAACCAGATTAAACTACAGTGGATTTCTGCTTTTAATGAGTAGGAGGTTAACCAAAATAAACACCCCCCCCCCCGGGTTTCTCCCGTAATTTGCTTTTTGCAGTATAGATCCTATTCTGTGACATTTGTCTTTTGAAATAGCCAAACACCATGAAGATTATTTCCAGAAACACAAATTCTTGGCTGCTGAAATTTCAAGCCAGTACACCAAATCTATGGAAACTTCAACTGGAGACAGTATTGCGAAGGACTACCACTCCATGAACCGAATTTGACATAGGGCCTTGCCATTCAGCTGTCAAAAGCTCTGATGATAAACTTACTAAAGCATTCTGGATAAATTTTGTATTGTTAAGATAATGGAGAATGTCATAAGTTACTATTACAAGTCAATAAGTGGATTGGAAATAGTAGAAGAAAAAAATGTAGATACTCAACTTTGGATTTGATAAGGAACATAATAAGGAAAAAAAATAAATACACATTTAATATCTCCTTCTGAATTTGCCAGCTTTTTTCATGTTATGAAACTTCAATGTAAGTTTATCGATTCTTCTGTGCTGTTACTTCATAAGATAGCTCGTTCTTCATTGTTGTGTTTTTTTCATAACAATACTTATTCCAACACAAGCCCCTTCAGCCCCTCCATCTTGAGGCCTATGACTCACCTCATAGAATGAAAAACTTTCTTCCTCCTTCATCCATCAATGAAAGCCTTGACATACCGTTCAAAATTTAACTTTTAAATAGAAAGCCTCAAATCTCCAAAAACACTGTTTTTCACCTTTACTGACAAGCCAGAACTACCTACATAACTTAAAAACAAATTTTTACCAAAACAACTTAATAATAAACAGATAAAAAGCACAAAGATGAGGTATCTTGGGCTTGAGCAACATCTGGCAATAGCCAAGTTAAGTTGATATACAATAAGAGATTCAACTAAGCAGTGTAGGCCACAGTTTCAACCGCATCATGCAATTTGCAGATGAGATTGGATTAGATTGAAAATAGATGGTTGGGATCTGTTTTGTACAGAAACAGATCCAAGAGAATGCACAGATAAAGTTATTTTCTACATTCTGTATATGAAGTTGTACAATGCGTGTCAGAGTTTGTATTTGCTGGTTGAAGATGTACAAAAAAAAACTATTAAAACTGTTAATATTACAAGCCACTCTAGGTATGTTGACTCCAACCCAATTTTTGAGAAGCGCCCCCCCGGTGTTCAGCTAGCAGCAATTATTAACTGACCATTTTAGAAGCAAAACTTTCTGAATGAAACAATATCAAGATGTCAGTCACTAAAAGATTTCTAAAACTTGCTACATGTCAAGCTTATGTTGGAGAAACAAAAATCAAAGTCTTTGTTTGCAGCAGTACGCCCAAATATTGGACATGCAGTAATTTACTGCCTTGGAACAAGGAACCCTGGGTGCGGGGCCTCAAAGGATACATTCAATAAAGCTCCCCAAGAAAGCTTTCTTTATTTTTATTATTTTCCAGTTCTATTCATGTTAAGTTATAAATTGCACTGGTCAAACAAGCACTTGGAGGCGTTTGCAGCACTGAGAAAATATGACAAGTGCAACTAGGTTGAGCCAAACTGGCACCAATTCCATTAGGAACACAGAGCCGGCTAGCCACACAAGGACATTTGCCAAGGCTAATCCAGTGCCGAATCCTCTATGAGTCCAAACCAGATGCTGGCTAGTAACTTAATGCCAATAAATAGGCCTACTTTAATGTTATTGTAAGATATTCTTATCAAACTTTGACATGCTATTACACAACTTTTGTTCGTTTAATCCAAGTTTCTTGAGTGTGTTCAAGGTTTTTCCATAATATTCTTTGAATCTTGTTTAGAAAGACAATTGTGCAATCTTTTCTAGGGTTCTGTGCTGCATTTTTTTTTTACCCACCCACCCCTCCCTACAGCCTTCCCACCCCCACTTGCTAGGCATAGGATTTGAACTCTGAAACTGACAGCGGAGAAGACTCTAAGAGCCCTCTCCAGGCCATTGGGCCAACGGGTTCCCTGCTGCATATTTACGAATGAGTACCTATAAGTTTTATGCTTACAGGTTCAGAAACTTATCAGAATGGATAGTCCAAAAGGTACTATCATACATTGTCATTATACAGCTAACACAGTCCAAAGTGGACAGTCCAGAATGGACAGTTCAAGTGGATTTACTAAAACATTATACTGCTAACACCATCATTCTAAAAGAGTATCAGGGAGCTTGCTCACCTCTTCTCCTCTGCTTCCAAGTGTCAATATCCGCAGGTATTAGCCCTTTTCCCATTATTGGTTCTAGGATTTCAGCAAGAACCCCCTAGAAGAAAATATAATATCCCTAATTCAGATAAGTAAAAAATACTGCCAAAGACGAATCACATTAACAGAAAGCAATGTGATATTACAAAAAATTTCAATACCACAATGGTGTAACCATATCTACACTATGAGGTGCTGTAAGCGGGGAATCAGCTTAGTACAGTTTAAGAAGCTTATTTTTATGTAGAACAAGCAAACATCCTCGAAGGACAAAAGCACAGTTATTCCTTCAAATGAGAAGCTGGCCTCATCATTTAGTATACTTTAGGTTAGTTCATTTTATAAAAGAACTTTTTTAGGGAATGATTAAAGGACAAATTAACCTACCTGTAATATAAGAAACCAAATCCTCATGACAAGCAAAATTAACTGTCACTAAGAACATGGCAGTTGCTTGGTGTCAGGAAAAAAATATTACATATTCTTCTTTACTGGTTTTGCAAATTTAGTATAGGTCTAAGGGAAGTAACAACTTGGAGCATTCATATCAGAACATCATTCAGGATGCAGGAAATCGCGTGTGATGTTTCCCAGTCACACGTTGATCAAAGTCAGCTGGTTTAATTTACCCTTTCAATGTTTAATTTTCTACTCAAAAAGACAATTCTATCTTATAAAGTTAGAAAAAAGAACCATAAAGTCCGTATTGTAGATTTTAAGGAAAGGAAAAGGCCTTAAAGATTTTAAATATATGGTGATATAGCTGCAGCTACTAGTTGCAACTTGTGTCTTATACAACCAAAAAAATAAAACTTTTGCATTGCATCTACATTCTTTTACAACCATTATGTACTGCCTCAATGGTCCTTTCCTCTGACATACATCACAAACTTTCTCAAGTTATGTATTCTATGATACTCATGAGCAGGTGACCACGTTGTCAACCATTTCTGCATATTTCAACTGTGGTCATGCGAGACACAGGTTAATTTGCATTATATCATGTGTAAAAGGAGACAATACATGCACCATTTTCTAATGCTCTTACAAAGTTAGCATGTAGTCAGCTCTTTGAAGAGGAACAGGAAGAATATGTTTCAGAACCATTGACCACAATAACAAAAACTCTTTCACATCTGAAGACAAAACTGCATATGGAATTGTATCAGGGTGTTTTATCAGGGCACCTCAGAAGCAGATTAAACATGATAATCATATTCATAAATCTGGGGGAAGAGGAACTTGCAATGTAACATTGAGTTTTGGTCAAAGAGGGAGTTGAATTTCAAACGCATGGTCAGGGGCATTTTGGGAATTTGGAAAATGTGTTGCTTTTTTCAAGCTTTTGGTACAACTGATTGCAACATGTGTTTGGGTGTTTTTACATTAAAGCCCCCATATTTGTACATTTAAAGCTTGTATTTATAGACACATCTGGGTATTTGTGGAATGTGGGCTTATTTGGCGATCATTTGTGCATTTGGTCCAATTCATATAAGCGTGTGTTTTTGTGCAATAACTGAAATGGTGTTATTATGTAATTAAAATAGAGCCACGTTGCTGATAACCTCAGTAATTGCAATATAACTCCATTTCAATTGTCTGAAACACTCATAATTATATCAACACCTGCTTTCCTATGCCTGAAGCTCAGTCGTTTGAAACAGCTTCTTTACCAGCAATAAAACACTATTTACATCCCAATTAAACGGCCAATAACGTGGGTATGCTGCTGAGTTATTGTCTGAGCATCAGTTATGGCTCTTTCAATTCTTCCTCCTTCACATTCTTCAGTTTTCCCCCTTTCGGCTTCCAGGACTGCGTTATTTTTTCAGCCTTTACACTCAGCATTTCATAATGGTTTTCAGCAGAAGCTATATTTCCTTAATATTACTTAATATGCGCTGTTATCTTATTTTTATCTTTATTTACTTGCTCACCACAGGCACCTAAAAAATCCTCTTTCACCACACGCGCCAAACACCAGCGCGATGCGCAGGCATTCCCCCTAGTTATATGAGAAAAGGATGAGATCAACTAGGATCTTAACTTTGGACCATTTCATGAAGTAAGATAATTATAATCACAATCAGCTACTGTAGGTCTTAGACAACATCGAATCAAACTAGCTTGGACAATATTGTGTCATGCTATTATGAAGCACATATAGGAATTAGTTGAAGGCCTCAGATACATTGCACATTGAGTGTCTTGTTAGAAGAAAATGCACAAAATTTCTTACCTTGTCATAAGAGAGAGCATTTTCACGTAGAATATGTCTTGAAACAATAGGATCTGACACAACAACAAATGCTTTTGGCCCAAAAGCAAGTTTGTACACAGAGCCATGCTGCCAGCAAAATCAAAGCCAAATGAAAAACATTAAACAGAGCTTTTGCTGTGGAAAAATTTGTTGATGCCAAGGATGTGATTCCAAAAGGTAATCCTTTTTTATTTGCATAGAGGAGGGGCTACCAAGATCATGCCCTTGAATTAGATAAAACAATCGTGTGGCTTTTGGTTTAATCATTAATAAAGTGGTAGCACCTTAGCCAAGTAATCAATCTTATAATTTTTCTCAACTTGCTTAGTTTCCAGAACATATTGCGAAGATCAAGGGCAGTACAAAACCAATTGCACTGGTGAAATACTATGTCAGATATCAAGTTGCAAGTTGCAACAGATCATTCAGTGGCTGATTTTATCGCAACAAAACAGCTAAACAATCATGCAAAGACGAGTACCTCAAGAAACCAATCGTAGAGCGCAAAAAACAGTGGCCGGCCAAAGAGATCAGAAACTGCACCTTCAGCCATTGGCATCGACCCCATTCTTCCTCCACTCAAGAAATTTGTGAGAAGGTTGCTGGCGTTGTCCAGTAGATTCATTTTTGGCTTGGGAGCATTAGTTTTTGCTGAATGGCATCTGCAGTTAGTTACAGTCTACAGATATTACTCCACGAATTCAATTGATCAACTAAACATCTCAGACCTAAGGATGACCAAGAAAGCAATACAAATTGATATTCTGTTGCCAAATTAACATAACATATGCAGGTGGATGTTATCATGTTAATGATCCCAACATTTCCAGTAATTCCGTTGGAGCAAAAGCATCAAGCCAACCCCAAAAAAAAAAAATTCTGCTGTTTCCTACGGGAAATAAGAAGACAAATTGACTTTTAACACAGCCCAATACGAAGGCATTCAATAGTTGAACAAATTGCTTCCTCTGGGGGCAGAACCAACTTTTATATCTGTTATGCACCAAATGAGCAGAGGGCAATTACAGCATATCCAGCAAATCCTGGAGAAATCTAATGGTGCGAATGAAGAGAGTTTGCATTTAATTGCACATATTTTGTTTCACACACACACACCTGATTGCCCGAGCAAAAGCTGAAGTCCCTCTTTTGGGCTTGCGAAATGAAGGACAAGCAGTGGAGGAAGAATAAAAGTCGGAATGGTGGAAGGAGGGATACCAAAATCTACCACTGCAGCAACAGCGGTTGCTACCAGTACCATTACGGTTACAACTGTTGGTAGCAGTTAGAGCAAGCGTAAGAGCAGTCATGGGGTACTTATTGTGGCTGGCACCTAGAAAGCAGGCAAAATCCACAACCCGCAGCAACTTCAACTGACAGCAGCCAGCCTCCACACGCTCGGCTCGAGTGCTTCCAATGGCTTCTCTCCACTTATATCACCCCACCAGTACTGAACTACTGATAACTGATGAGATAATTCCCACTGTGGATGACTACTTCCAATGGCTTCTCTCCACTTATATCGCCTAGGGTGGCAATCGGGTCGGACTCAGGTTAACGGGTGGGTTGAGACTTAAATATAATAAAGAACCTGCTAACTCGAACCCGACCCGCCAATCCGAAACGGGGTTAGGATATCTGACATGAATCCGAAAATTTCGGGTTGGCGGATCGATCCGAAATGACCTGAAACTTAATTTTAATTTATCACTATAATTTCTAATAAAATCATTTTTTCACAAAATTAATTACATCATCAAGTAATAAAAATTTAAATAAATAATTTCAAATCAAATCTAAAATAAATTAAACACCGTAAAAGTGTTTTATCCCAAACCAAATATAAAATAAATTAAAATAGTATAAAAGTAAAAAATAACATAATATATTATATGTCCAAATATATTAATTTTAACTTCACACAAGTTAAATAAATTCATTTAGGATTAAGTAATTAATGCCTTTGGAAAAAAAGAATGATTTAGTTTAGTTAGATAAAATAATTTTTATATTTATTAAATTAGTTTTAATTCGTAAACGGGTCACATCGGGTCATATCAGGTCACCACGAGTTGACCCGAAATTGACCTGTTTTCTTTTCGGGTTCGGCCCAATTCTGACCCGGACTCCCGAAATCTCAACCCAAACCCATTAATTTCGTGTTAAATTTGAGTTGTGTTTTCAGGTCGTGTCAGAAATTGCCACCCCTAATATCACCTAGTACCCTTAGAGTTTCAAAATTCTCACTTACCTCCCCTATCAATATGATTTGACTAGAAGTTCTAATCAAAAAAATTGAGTTTGGATTGTAAATTATTTGAGATAATTTTGTGAAAAAAGTACTGTAGCACTTTTTTGATATGATGTATATGAGATAAAAAGGTGATTGAAAAAAATGTGTTGATGATATAAGCAAATCAGTGTGTAAATAAAGTGTAAATAAAGTATAATAATTTACAATCCCTCAATGTTTTCCTACTTTTTTAAATCTACATTCCTAAATCTCCAACCTTCATAATGTATGATGACTTGAAGATGGTGAAAGTTTGACAAGAAAAAATACCCAGCACAAACCTATTAGCATAGTAATCGAAGAGAATACATTGTATGTATGTTACGTGGTCATCGAAAACTATTCTAACTTTGTATAAATTGATCTCGAACTCGGATCTTGAGGATAGGATAAGCTTCTAACATCCTAAAGATAACAGTGATAATAATAGTAATTGAAAAAGATACATTATATGTATGTCACGTGGCCATCGAACCTATTCCAATTCGGTATAAACTCACCTTGAATCCAAGTTTGAGATTTTTTTTTCCTCATATAAAAAAACAAACTTGAGCGTCGACCTTGGGAACTTGACCCCGAGACTGCTCATGGGTTGGTCTCTTTTTTTTTGGCATATTTTGTCTCCAAAATTGTGTAAGAAATTGCGTAAATGAACATGTGAAAACTGTGCCCCAAATGATTGTGTTTGGCTTTTGACCCACATATTTCCTAATTCTGTAGTGGTGGAAAAATTAGCAGTGATTCTTTACCAACACCAGTGCTCTACATTTTGCTATCTACTTTATCTACTTTCAACGAGGTAGTATCTTGCATGTTTGTGCACATATGTTATTATTATTATTTTTTATGCAGATGTGCATCTTATCTTTGGTGCACCAATCCACCATCAGATGTGCTCGTGATTAGATAGCAAAGTGGACATATGCTCTCATGTGATCATGTCTACCTATCCATGTCTGCTAATATCGTGAAAAATAGTTTGCCAATTGAAAAGTTCGATGTATCAACAACTCCAACTACAATGGAGTTAGAGTTCTCCTAATAGTCACAGTTAATAAGTTTCTCCAACGTGATTTTGAGCACCAAGTTAAACCATTGTTTAAAAAACTGGATCGAATCGGCCGGTTCGATCAATCAGACCGTAAATTAGTTATAGCTCAAGTCCGAATCATATCTTGGGTTGATTGGACTTAAAAATTGGTAAGAACCGTTTGAACCGTGCGAATTGGATTGAAACGTTGAACCGACAAATTTTTTATTTTTGTCTATTAAATTGAAAAAATATATATATATATATATATATATATATATATATATATAAAAGAATAGGTTTTCCTTAACCTTAACGACTAATTATTAAATGTCACGTCCACTCACTTTCTTCTCATTTTTTGCCTCTTATCAAGTTTACATTTTTGTTTTCTATTTTCCTGACTTCTTTCAAACTCCAAACTTCTTTTTTTTTTTTTAAGTTGTAATCTCTAAATCCAAAAAACATGAATTAAAAATTTAAACTCATAATATATAATTCCCATGGACACGAATTTTGTATAATTTTAAAATATTGTGGTATTTTTGGGTTGGATTTAAGATTATTGTTTGGTAGATACAATTGAAACTAAAATGAAATTTACTTGTTGCAACTTATAATTTAAAATTTTTATTTGTGAAAATCCAAGTTCTTTGAAAATATTAAATTTTTCATATAAAATCTTAAATTAGTCCATTGCATGTCTTATTTTGTACATATATATTTATATAAATTATTTTTTAAACAATTTATTAAACCAGGGTTGAACTGGTCCGACCGATTGAATCTCGACCCGAACATCTCACCACCTCAATTCATGTGACATTTGATTAAATCCATGTGACATAGAGTCATTCAATAAGATTATCTCGATCCATAGAGATCTTCTTGAACCGGTGGATATATGACGTAGAGGAATAAAGTGATCCACATAGTTGTACAGACATTCGACCCCTAACAGGGATCCGCACGAACCTCCTTAGTTAGAACCTCCTAGGTCAATTTTGCCAAGACACTTCCCATAATTTGGTTAAGAAAAAACCCTAATTTTTCACCATGAAAAACTTGCTCCAATAATAGAAATATGAGATTTTCCCATTATTTCCTTGTGATGAATTTTGGGTATTTTTCTCTCAAGATTTTTCTCAAAAAATCTCACAAGACAATTTGTGTGTCGATTAGATAATTTGTGTGTCGTTTAGTCTTGTTTGCAAAAGTTTAGTCAGTATTTATAGATAAATAAGGTATCCATATCCTTATAGAAACCTGAAACCAGATTCCAATAGGATTCAATTTCCTTATTCTAATACAACACTTGTATTTAGAAGACTTGATCTTATTTGCACTATAAGTCTCCCAAATTTAATTTGTCCCACAAATTAAACTATAAGTAATAAAAACTTATCTATCAAGTTTCTACTTGAAATTTATTTAATCCAGTTAAAAAGTTCTTAATATGTGTGACCCATTAGGTTCTCATATACATTGGCAATAAGTATGAGTTATAATTCTTAATGAATAAGAATTAGATAAATTAAAACTCATTTTAATTTATCATTGATTCCATTAATCAATTAAATCATACTTATACATAAAAAATGGCATCTGACAATGCATCTTGATGACCCAAGTAATTAGAAAAGTTAAGTAGATGATTCATATTTTAATGAATGCTTATTGTATAATTAATATCTTTTATCACACTTATCTCACATTAATTTTGGAATAAGTTGTGCCTATTCTATTACGTGATTAATGTTCATTTCTTGTACCAAAATATAGCTCCAATGAAGAAGTACTTAGAAACATGTTCTAAGATTTTTCTACTTAGTGGTAAGAGTTCCGAATTATATTTTTACAAGTAGCTAGACATGAGATAACTCTTTTTTCATAAGAGGTGATAAAATCTTTATAGGTTATTCACTACCTTTCTATATTTCAAATATATACTCATCTGTTAATGATGTGAACATTCTCTGTTACGGGAGCAATTATATAACAAACAGAATATATCTGTCCGTACTCAAGATACTATAATAACCTTAAATCTAATGATTACTTACACAAACGTCACTTACAGATTAATCTTTTGGAACTTAAAGGATATCTCTATGCTGATCAATCTAGTGAATTTGATCAATTTGTCAAGCACCTATATATTAGTTTAGGTGTCTCACACAGCATAATAGATAAAATCTACTAGTTCTTATATAGAAACGGCATAATATATATTAGTCTAACCGTATTAATAATCCCCTTTCTTGTTAATACTTTGATTAGAGATATTTACGAATAAATCTTGTTTACAATCGATTGAATCTCACCATCATAACTCTTATGATTTCAACGATTAAGGCTTTGTATGGGGTTTTGTTATGTTTTCCGTAAACACATTTTCTAATCATATTTTTACCTCACATATATCAAATTCCTACAGTATTTTTTCTACAAAAAAATTCAAAAAAATGCACAAATATAAATATATTTGCAATTAATATGATAAAAATATCATTTATTATAATATAAATAGTTCAATTGCATGTTAAACCGTAAAAGTTGATTGACTTTTGGGCATACAAACTTTCAGTCAGTACAGTGTGTTCATCATCTCTCCATAGTGTACGTACTTGTAACAAGTTAATTTTCATACGCTACAGAATAATTCTCATTTAAGAATGCAGTTGCATTCTATGCTTCATGAAGTAAGATTGCAAATACCGCGACTGACCACTTCAACGTAACCAAGGTAAATGAATCATCAAGAAAGTGAGTACTGTGGAGGGGTCAGGTATGTTCTTGTTGTTTGGGTATTACTTATAAGCAAATTCTATTGGTCCAACTGTGATTTTTAAACCCTAATTGACCAGGTTACTTTCCTTACATTATAGAATAATTTTCGTTGGAGACGGTAGTAACTTTGAAGTAAGTTTACAAATGCCACCACGGCTATTTCAATGTAGGCCAGGTGAACAAATAGCATGAGAGTGAGTATCCTTACAGGTATAAGGCACGTCCTTGTAACTTGAGTATTGCTTAGAGGCAATACTTTATCAGTCCATTTGCTATTTCTAGACCCTAACTGAACCAAGCGGCTTTCAATGTATTATAGAGCAATTTATATTTGAGAATGCGGTTATTTCTGTACTTCATGAAGTAAGTTTGT